CGATTTTGTTTTACAGAGAGCATTTTCCATCAGGAAGTCTTCCCCGATAAACTGTATGAACAATGTAACAATTTGAAAGGCTTTCAAATTAGTTATAGACAGTAAAATTACAAACAATTTTATAATCTTTAAAGCAAAGCTTTCATTTTTGTGTCAGGTCATAAAAATAATTACTGATGAAAATAGTTGATAGGCCTATGATGAAAATCCTATCTCTGGCCTAAATTATTTTTCAATTTAAAAAATTGATAAAGCAATTATCAAGGAGGTATAAAAATGTATTGCAATTATTATAAGCTTTTCAAATCCTTTACACTGTTGGAGCTTTCAGATGTTTACCTTTGACCATACTGAATAATGCTGGCTGTGCTTGTGGTTAAGCTGTCAGCATATCCAGAAGACGACATGCATTTTAAAATATTTAACCATACAATATTTGTAATTATTCATAAAATTTTGGCCTAACCAATAATTACAAAGGACAAGATTGTTGTATTTTTACAATAAAACGTTTTTATTATATATTTTAGTATAATTATATTGTTACTAGCTGACAAATGTTATTACAAATCATTACAAATGAATCAGTATGTTCAAATGTATTTTCCATCTATTATTATACTCATCTCCTTTCATTCCTTTAAATTCACCATATTCAAACAGAAACAGTTTTAAATAAATATTTTTTTAAAGGTGACCATAATTTCATAATAAAGAAACTGATGAAGTAAACCATAGAATTCAATGAGTTTGGCCAAAACATCATCCCACAATAGACCAATTGTGTAGCTAAAGTCAAGTGACAAATATTTTACAACTTTTGTATACAGTCATGATGTGCCTTGTTACAACCGCTAATGTAGAAAACAACAGCAAATGTAGTAACAACAGTTAATGTAGCACACTCCACAGCTTATGTAGTAAAACTCTCCGCTAATGTAGAAACCCAAACAACTTATGTAGTAAAAGTAAATCAACCCCAGCTAATGTAGAACACACAACAGCTAATGTAGTAACAAATATTGCCTCACAGCTAATGTAACTACTATTGCCAGCTAATGCAGAGCATTACAATGTTACAATACATTGGCTGAAAAACATACGAGTATATCAAATCAGGTTGTCTGCACATCTGCACATTTAATGGGAAGTAAACCTGTGAAGGCACTTTTAAAAAAATGTCCACTTATGCATACTGTATCTGATATTGGGTGCTCATTTTAGTAACCACTAATCAGTAAGGATTAATAAAGGTCTCACATTGTTCATGTCGCGGTCGGTAGTTCCCTTTACATTTAACAACTACAAAACAAACTTGGCTTACTTCCTCATATTTAGTCTGAGAAAAAAACATGACAAAGTAGCCCAAGTAAGTTTTTGTAGTTTTGTATTATTAAGCTTAACCCTGGTAACTGTCTCTTATACACATCTAGATGTGTATAAGAGACAGTCGCGGGGGCATGCCTGTTCATAATAATTCATTGGTGGATCTTGGAAAAAAAACAGAAAAAAAAAATTCCAGGACCCGTGAGCCGAATTTTTTTGTTACATTGGAAAAATTAGAAGTCGGAAAAGCTCATTTCCCACCATCTGGAATTTTCCAGGGGGAGGAGTCGGTTCCACCTTTTTTGGGGGGGGTTTTATGAAAAAATGTAAGCCCCAGATCCACCTCTGTAATACTTTAAAGCTGGTAACCTCAATTATAAGTTCCTTTCTATATAAGATTTGTACTATATTCTACATTAGCTGGCGATAGTTACATTAGCTGGCGATAGTTACATTAGCTGTGAAGCAATTTAGCTGTTGAGCTTTCTACATTAGCTGGGGTTGATTTTCTTTTTAAGCTGTGAAGTGTGCTACATTAACAGTTGTTACTACATTAGGTGTTGTTTTCTACATTAGCGGTTGTAACATGCCTATATATGGTCATGATGTGATGTAACTATGACCATATTTAAGCATGTCACTTGTTTTTTGTCAAATATAATTTGATATTCTGGACAAGGCTTACGTATTCAGCTGTAACTGCTCGGTGATTCCACTAATTTGTGCCATATAAATCTATTATTTTCATTAATAATAAGATTGACTGACATAACATTAACTATAATCATTAATGTTATGCCAGCCAATCTTATATGAAGTACTGATTCTTTTCTTTTAAAAAAACTTGCCTTAAACCATGTTCACATTAGTGTAATGTTGCACAACAGCAACTCCCTCTTAGTCAAAATTGTACTGCCATTCACACTTTAATATGCGACATTGACTAAATGATAAAGAATTGTTGAATGCCCATATATAGTCATAATGTGCCTATATATGGTCATAATGTGATATCATCATGACCATATTTAAATTATAAATAATAAATGACTAAATGATAAATCACGGTTTTTGTTCAAAGTGGTTTTCCATGTTCAGGAAACCAACTTGGTATTTAATTGCTTCCTATGCAATGTTAGCTTGGACAAACTGGATGTGAGCTTGAAGGATTTGACCACTGAATATTTTGGTCACACAGACCATATACACGGTTAATTTGACCAAAAAGATGTAATGTGAACACGGCTTAAGTCACTGAAAATAACACAACACAGGTTCACAGAGATTGCAAATAAAACTAACAATAATAACAGAAATTTTTCAAAGCCAAGAACCTAGATTAGCTAAATGGTTTGAGTTACTTTACTGAGGCTAATGCATTTAGGCTAACATAAATAAACATCTTAAATATCATATAAGATATTGTAATACTGTTATTGAAGGTATCACAAAATAAAATTTGTTATATTTGCCAATAAATTTCCAATGGCACAAATATTCTACATTTTATTTATGATGTGTATGATTATTGTGAATATTTGGTAACTTCAGCTTGACAACTATCAGTTTTACCATGGGATCTATTATTAGATGAAACAGATTAGCAATAGTAGTGATGAATACCCAATAAAACAAAACATAATATATATATAGAAATGTATTGGGACATATACCATTAATCAACAAATCTATTATACTGTTTAATATTTAACAAGTTCATTCTGAGCTATAGAAATATATGTTATCTAAGTATATAAAAACAATCAGTACTTTCTACAAATATTTCCATTATTTCATCTTATTACTTTAATGAATACTTTTTTAAAAATTAGAAATATATTTAATTGGAATTGATGTTACGCATTATAATTAAGAATATTTCCATCAAAAGATAAATGTTAAATATATAAATAAGTTTCTGTTTAGACAATGGATATTAAACCGGTAGAAAGCCTATTCTTTTATACAGTATTTTTGTGATAAGTGAGGGCGTACCCCAAATCTAACCTTAAGGATGGGCTAATTTAAGTCAGTCAGTAAAATATATATATATACTGTATACTTCTTCTGTTTATAAGATTGCTTCACTTAATCAAATATATGGCTGGGTATAGATTGAACACAACAGCAACTGCAATATACTTTTTTGTAATACATCCTGTGTAAATGTTGCCTTCATAATATTTCCTCTTGTTCCTAAAACAGAAATGTTAAATATCAATAACGCATGATATCAGAACTATCGCACTGGAGGACTAACACCCTAATCATCCGGCCATGTTACCAGTCTATTAACAAATGTAAATAAAAGTTTATGCTGCAAAAAACAGCTTTGTCAAATTTCAATCATGACAGTTGGTGTAAGCCAATTATTTCATGTTTTCAAACATGTTACAATTGCAGTGTTTGGTGTGTTACCGTAAATGCTTGAATGAGCGCCACGGTGCTTATAAAATTTTTGGAGGGTTCATTGTGCAACTTATTCGAGAGCGGGGCTTTTAAAAAAATATTCTGTTCTCATGAGATTGCCTGTCGTCGGTCGGTCGGAAATTTTTTTTTCCCCTTGTAGTTAAACCTGAAATAGGATAGGCCTGGAACTGCAATCCCTATAATGAAAACCCTAGGGCCTATGCCTAAGGACTCGTAGCTCATAGGCACCACAATAGAACGATGGAAGCTTGCCAAACAAAAAATACTCAAAGTAATGACCGAGTAAATACTAACCAAGTGTATATTGGAATAAATTTAACAAAAATAAAGATGTACTTGGCTTCGATACGTAACACGGGCAGGTCAAGCAAAACTATTCTGTGGCTATGAAAAATGTTCAAACAAGCACCTTCTATGTAATAAAATCAAAGTAAAATTCGAGAGAAAAATATTTATTTTATTGTTTGCCCAATACAGTAATGAAGCAGAAAATGTCTATCTATGTACCGGTTTTAAAACGATGGCTACACCTAAGCCTGTTTTCATTTATTGTCCAATATACCGTAAGGTAATGAATACGATTTTTGATTCAAGCAACCACTAGGCTAGTTGTACTAGTGAAGAATGGGTTAGGCCTACGCCTAGATCTTGACAGCTCAGTGCGAGAGATCCAATGTTGTGTGCATATCGTCGCCGCGCTCTGTTCTCAAAATTATGCCTTTTATATTACCGATTTTACGCGTTCACCTATAGCCCGATTTTGATAAAAGTAAATGACTGTTTTTGATTTTATATTGTAAATGTTAATTTCGGAAGTGGTATTTCTCAAATTTGTACTTGAACAAAAAAAAAAAAAAAAGAAATGCGACCCGATGTTTTTTTAAATTTCGGTCGGTCGCAGAGGGCAACACAATTTTTTTTTCAGGCCTAATAATGTAGAGACCTCTATGCCCTTAATATTATTATCCGGGCATTGGATCAAGCACATATCGAACCCATACAAAGGTCTGTGGGGAGAATTCTATAAATGTTGTAGCTGTAATCAGCACATTTTGTTATGAACCTACCAGGTACTCACTTATACTAATGGGAGGAAAGAGAACTGCAGGTAAAGTGCCTTGCCTAAGGAGACAAGCGAAAATCACAGCAAGGAATTGAACTTTCAATCTCATGGTTCAGAGGCAGAACTACAACCGTGCTCCAAACCGCTCCTACTCCTGCTAGTTACTGATCACTATTTACGTGATGGCGACATTAGGTAAATGGAGAGCTACTGTGTGTTGAAATAAACATTATGATAAGCATAAGCAGGCTACCTTACCAATGACTTAGTCTATGATGTGGAAGATGAGTTCCATGATGACGGGGCCATCTTCAAACTGTGAGACAGCATTGTGAAGCACAGGTATCATTTCATTATCGAGACTGTTCATATAAGATGCAGGAAGAGCTTGGCCGTTGGATCCAGCTTCATACCCCACCTGTAGCATCAAACCAATAAATACATCATTATTTTAAATACATTTATTAATATATCGAATGTACCAATCTTTTGAATTACAATTTATATTTTAATTAAATGTGCAAATGTATTCACTATTAGATCTTTAAAATTTATATATTGTTTATTCCAAAATAAAATCACAAAAGTATAATGCTATATTTACATGCTTTCTGTACATTAATAAATATTCAATACAATGATAAAGAATGATTTATTCAATACAACGATAAAAATATTCAATACAATGATAAAAATGTATTAATCTTTAAAATATTATATTATCACTTATCACACAGTATTATTACCATCACCATATCATTACTATACCATTAAACCATTTCTATTATACCCATATCATTATTATTACTATCATCACACCATCGTTATTTCACTATTATTATACTATCACTATAATTATCACACCATCAGCAGCATAGTTTTACCATTTTATCAGGTTACCACTATTCACCATTATGATGTGCATCATTAAATTAAACACTCACTCGTTCAGCATCCACTGTGACACGCAGCGCGATTTTCGCCATTCCCGATTCCTTCAGGCTGTCCAGGTGTTGTACCAATGCCACGCAACAGGAGGTTGCCAAGGTCTCAGCCAATCGGCTCAGATCGACTGGCTCAAGATGCTGCACTATTGCTTCGTTCGATTCCAGAAAGAAAACTTCCGTCCAACGGATGGCACGTGTCTTCCCCATGAAGTCGGTTCCATGGTGAATACGGATGTTGTCGATGCCTTCCATTGATCTACCATCTATCGGACTCTTCACTCTACAAACACATGTAGTATTTTAATTCAATAATTCCATATGACACTATTCGACATTTACTTTTTAAATTGTAATTATATCCATGAAACAAATTATACTCCTTTTACACTGCAGGCAAAACGACGGACACAACCCGGGATTTTGCAATACCTGGGCTAGAAACTCCCTGAGTTGTGGTTGGTGTAAACATCATAAAATACCACCTGGGTAGATAAATATCCCGGGATCTATGTGCAGGACGCATTTAGCATTGGAGTCGCCAACTGAGTGCAAACAGCACCGAATTTGATTCCAGAATTAGGCCTTACCTGGCCCCTACTGCAGCAGGTAGGCCTAAACTTTGCTAACAATGGGCTAGACCTAGACACAAATTAAACACTCTGCGCTCGGCTATAGACTGCTGATTTAATTTGCATAATTTAAAAACAATCTGCAGATACATTGCTTAAATATTGACAATAATTCGGGCAATAATTGCGGCTTTGTGACGACGATGAACTCGAACGAAGTGATGATCACCATCACAACAAAAATTGAGGGCGGTATTTAAACCCTAGTTCGTTGCCAGTGTCAAATGGGAGCAACTCGGGATCAGCCCAGACATTTCGTTTGATAGAAATGGGAAATGCACCTGGGATTACTCTGGAATTAACATGGGATTATTCTGCCCTTGGCAGTGTAAAATGGGTAATTATTTAAAAAATATTGATCTTAACCTATTGAATTTTCAATATAATTTAGTTTTCATAAGCATTTTTAATTAAATCTTCCAAGGCATTTCCATCCACCACCAGCCTAAAGCTCTGTCCACACTATCAAATTTTATGTGAACAGTTTGTGAGATGTGCCCATGGGCATGATGATGTCATGTTATCACTTTATAGTGTGGACAGAGCTTTAACGCATTCCTGGAAGGCCACATGTACTCTCTCACTGCTTAATGTGTACAAGTCTCCCTCAACTTAAAGACCACTTTTGGGGACCAGGGTTTTCATGGTCTTTAACAGCTTTGGTCTCTAATTAGAATAATAAAAATTAAAGACATTTGTGAATTTGGGACCACAGAAAAGTGGTCTTTAATTGGAGGGATCTTTGATTAGAGGTAGACCTGTACTCAGAGATGTGGAATAAAGGTGCGTTCACATTGGATTCATTTAAATCAAGATGAAGGCTAAATTTACCTTGGTCAAATCTTACTGCTGTTTGTACTTGGATTTAAGTATGCAGTAGGTTTTAATTTAGTAAGATTTTGCGCATGTGTAGTCGGTATGGAAAGCATACGTGGAAAGCATGGTGATGTGCGTGGTATGTAGTGGTGCATGGAAAAATAGCCTGTATATTTTTTGGCAACTGTGACAGTGACTCGGTTATTTGCGGCATATCTTGGATAATTAGACCAAGGTGAATGTTACGCAGGCTGTTCACACATAAGCAATTACTTACTCACCCTTGGTTAACTTTTCTTGTTTCTTCTATCCACTTCACAATGACAACTTCCTCTGGTTCAGAGTCCCCAACAGGTCCACACGGTATCCTAAAGTCCTTCATCTCCCTCAGGCTTTGTCGGAACGCGGCCATCATATCGGGCTGAATCTGCACCATCACTCCATCTTCCACTATGCTGGATTTGGCTATTAAGCCTGTGCTTGCCTTCAGTGCTCCATTGAAAACCACAAAGCTAGCTCCAGTAACTGTAACCAATGTTTATTGTACAATGAAAGAAATGGATGTAATTCTATGGATTTTTATTTTTTTTTATCAGTTGAACACTGGCGGGAAGGTAATTGTGCAAATAAAAGATACATGTTTTGAGTCCCAGGTAAAATCATCAGATCTCCTGCGAACAGGGGACAAGCATAAAATGCTTGTAGGCCCTTCATTAATAAAAAATTAAAATGAATGGTGCAAATTTGAATATGTGGTCAGACCTTCTCTTTTCCATAGTTTACCTTGCCTCGGTTTGTTTTGGATGTTGATGGCTTGCGTTTGATAGTTTGCCATTTCATTCTGGATGCACACCAAGTGAGAGTCAGCTTCAGTGCTGAAGTTGGCCGCCACTGCCATCACATGCTCATTCGAATTACTAATCACTTTCATGATCTGCAAAAGAATTTGCAAAATACAAATTTTTAAACACACTACATGCCGTGTGGTATAAATACAAGACTTGGATTTCTTACAGCATCACTCTCAGTCTTATGTCAGACATTCAGCACATTGTTCAAATACTTAAACAGAAACAGTCGCATACCTGAGGTAAAGCATGGACTGTTATAACTGTTTACTCACCTCATCGTATTTACTGTTAGGAAAGTTTATCCTGGTTTCTTTTTTCTGCATATGAATCGTAATCCCCGGAATTTGAGGTAACATGTATTGATAATTCTTAAAATCCTGAAATACCATAAGAAAAATTATATATTTCAATAATGAATTACACAAAAAACTTACTGCAATGAACCAGCATTATTGAGAGCACTAGACTAGTATACTAATAATGAACGTTTATGAGTGCAATGGGGTAGAACATTTCATGAGGTGAAAGATTGGATGTTCTATTCAACGAGGCATAGCAGAGTTGAATAAGACATCCAATCTTTCACTTTATGAAATATTGTACCCCACTGTACGAATAAGAAACATTTATTATTTGTTTTACACCTAGCTGTATCTCTCTGGATAACCTGCATGCTCTTGTCGAATACTAAGACCCATCTTCCTTTCGAAGCCCAGCATAAAACTGGCCTAGACCTAGGAATAGATCAAGATCAGGTTCCGCTAATAATAGACTCAAATCTTCACCGCTAAAGCTGGCGAAATACTCCATACGGTTAACTGCATATTTAATTGACTTTTTTGTTGATTTGGCATAACTTACATTCAGTAATTCCTCCAAACCTTTTTTGTTCGTAAGTACAAATGGCCCAGTACTAAATAGACCTGCCATTTTATCGGCGGAGCGAGGGCTACTGAATGACCAACTCCTTTTTGATGCGTGGGTTGCCTAGGCTAGGCTAATTTTTCTTGCTCCCGTTGCATTTGAAATTTTTGTCGTCTTGGAGATAAAAAAGTACTATTCAACGATCTTTGACTAGTACTCAAATAACCATGGAATATTCATTTTAAATCAATCTCATGTGACCTGTTTTCAACCAATCAAATTAATAGAATATGATTTGTCATGAAATGCATCACTACTTTCACTACTTTACAGTCACATAAAATTGCATCGGTCACCGATACAGTGGCGCCAGGCTTAAACAAACTGAAGAGGGTGCTATACAGATGTCTGATTACTTACAGCTAAAAGATTCATAATGGTATGTCCGATTTCCCCGTACACTGGCTTGCGACCTCGCACACTCATCAAAGGGCAAGGATAATCTGTACAAATAATTAAAGCAAATGGAACTGTCAACAAAATATTTTATGTTAATGGACTAATAACAATTTTTTTAGAAGAGTGATGTTTTGCCCTACCTGACATGACGCAATGTTATTTCATCATGTGATGGCCTACTTGACATGAAAAAATGTATTGCAGTACCCTGTGCTACTTGGGGATTGGGATCAACACTAATCAGTAAGCGAAAGCTTGGTGTGGTCAAGTGGTTATGACACCAGGCTAGTTATCTGGAGATCATGGGTTCGATTCCCACCTAAATCACTTGCAAACTGTTTTCATTAGTACTGTATTTGGGACCATACTGAGTATTCAGTACGATTATATTTCAAGTAGGGCAAAACATCACTTCTATATTTTCCTGACATAGAACTTCATGTAAATGACCTCAAAGATTTCTAAAAATATGAAATGTTTAGTCAAGTAAAATACTCACATCTAAACTCTGCCCCTAACCTCAACATGAGTCGGAGGGGGAATACTTTAGCCCAGGGTGTCTCCCACTTCTGCAATAACACACCAAACAAATATGGTGGTTCCGGTAGGATGAGTTTACGCAGGCATTGGAATGTTGACTTTAAGAAGAGAAATCCGCCATGTTGACGACTACCGAGAAAGTTGTCACCACACAGCGAGTGACTCATGTCGTTAATAGTGTTACCTATACAATCATAAAAAAAGAATACATAAAAATTAGAAGAGATCCTTACTTCTAAAATAAATATCCTAAGTTTAAGGTATATACATAATTAAAAATTATTACTTGTCTATATTACATACAGAGACTACAATCAGCAGCCATGAGTTTACAGTACATGTATTGAGGGAGATGGATTATTAACTTGAATTATGCAAATCAGTGGTTACGTAGATATAAAATGGTGGAGTGGTCACTGGTGTGATTAATTTTCAACTTGCTTAATTTCAATGGAGAAGTTACTGAACATTTTCATCAAATGAAAATACATTATTTAATCTTAGTAAGGCAACTTTGTAATATATGAACATCCCACCTTTGGCTGCTTCATGATAGATACTGTTGAAATGTACAAATATATCTCTTGGGATAACCTTCTCGTCAGGTGTGCATTCTAGGACAACCACTAACTCATCCTGTCCAACCGTTGACATGCCTTTAGTTGAGAAGCACCAACACGTCCTATTCACGCAGCAATTCACTGTAATAAGAATAATAATAATAATAAATTTAAAAAAATAAGTATTACTCTAAGAAAGTATAAAATACTATAGGTATACCAATAGTGAAAACATGTGGCACACTGGAAGCTTCAAGCTTGTAATGAGAATAGGAATGGTTCAAATCTCAAGCTGATCACTCTGTGTCTTTATGCAAGGTACTTCCCCCTGTTGGTACTTAAAAGTTTTAAATGCCAATTCACTGATAATTACTAGCTGCAGCATAATAGACAATCAACCCAGGGCTGAGTATGTTATTTGTACGTGTTCTATTCAAAAAGCCAGTTAATACTGTAGGTTATGCCATATCATAATATAAACTATAAACTTTCAATGAAAGAAACACCGGCAAACTTACGGTCAATGATCTTAACAAGTACAAACAGGTTTTTATTAAGTACAAATACAACTGGATTCGGAGTGTCATCTGCAAAACAAAAAAAATCATGTTAATAAACATATTTATCATGAATATATGTAATACTTAATGCAGGGATGTCACCACGCTGGTCGGCGGTGGACAGGCCCGTCCAGCACTCAACATTTCCAACCAGGATTTACAGGCTCCCGACCACCACTATTATTTCAACAGTTTACAAATTGTAACAAAATAATTAGTTTACCTAAACACAATAGACAAGCTAAATTGATAAAGACAAGAAGAATACAATAAATTCCGTGGTTACATTAATTGTAACAAAATACTGCACTGCACTGCCCTGTTATTCATCGCTAACTGAACAGCCCAGGCCCAGTTGAGTCATAGCGAACGTCGTGGGCCGGCATGACACGGTTGCTGTACACATTCAAGGGTTAAAGTTGAAATCGTGACCCTTCAAGTGTTTTATTATGAGAGCATGATCCGGGGCAGGAAGATTATTAAAAATTTACGAAATCTGATTTATGTTTTATTTCTTTACTTTATTTTCATTTTGTATTTTAAGTTTTTCACTTTTAATTATAATTGATATATAATGTGTGTAAATGGACAAAAAATAAATAAATGAGTGCACATGAATCAGTGACATACACATTCATCCTGGTATCATCAAACATGTGAAATTACGGCAAACAATGTGGTTGGGTACAGTCGGATCGACGCTTTGGCGCCGGGATTTGTTCATTATTATTTTTTAATCTAAAACAAAGCATGTCAACTATTGAAGTTGAAATGCCCCCGGATGATCGCCGACCGGCGGGATGATCGCCAAAAGGCTGGTGACATCCCTGTTAATGATAGTGAAGATGACAAAGAAATCACAACAACCAACAGTAAACAAAATTTGAGATACTAGAGATAGATTCCCATGCCATTGTAAATTATATTTAAAGAGCTGAACAACATAATTATTACATGCAGAAACATGTTTGTATCAAGTTTTTTTTTAAATAAACAGTTGTTTTGCAACTTACTACGTAATTCTGGCATTAATTTTTCAACTTTGGGGTTCTCTTCAACTACATACTCTGAAAACAAAATGAATACAATTAAAGAAATGCAATACCATTAAATTTTCTCATTAATACTGGTAACAAAAACAATAACTATATTAATAGATATCATAATAATTTCTTATTATTGCTTTACTTATTGTTATCATTATTATTTTGTTGTTGTTATTGTTATTATTTTTATAGTAAAGCAATAATATTATTAATAATAATATTTCATTATGTCATACTTTCAGGGGAATCAGTAAATAAAATCAATTCAGGCTTACTTGATCCTCCTTCCTTTTGTTACATTTGCCCATATTTTGCTTACTATGATCACTTTTCTTTTCTTGTAATTTTTTCCCCAATTTTTTTTTACCAAAAGTAAATTTTCTGTTAATTGTTTTATGTTCAAAAGGAAAATAAACTTTACTTTGATTTGATTTTTATGTCATCATGACCATATTTGGGCATGTCACATTTTTTTGTCAATAAAATTTGATAGTCTGGACAAGGCTTTACGCTCAAATTTTCTTTTACAAAAAACTGTTGTATGCCCATATAGACATGATGTGCCTATATATGGTCATGAATTGATATCATGACCATATTTAGACATGTCCTATGTTTTTTTCAAATACAATTTTTCAGTCTGGGTTTCAAACATCTATCCACATACCTCCCTTGGTTTCTGTTGCTATGATAACAGGCGGAAGTGAAACTCCATCTTTAGGAATCAGACTTTTCTTACTTGACCTTGAGAGAGGTTGCCTTCTACTGCCCCCAGACATGGTGGCAGCCAGACCCTCAGCTACAATTGAGGCACCCTCTGATTTAGAGCGTGATGAGCGTGACACTGAAGTCGTTGGTTCCTCCACTAACTCATCCCCAGGGTTAAGACCATCAGAAAAGTGTACTCTTCTGCTTCCTTTAGATTTTTGGCTTCCTAAAATATTAGAAGAGAAAAGAGAAACATTCATCATGGAGATCAACAGCTCAAGTTCACCTTTGGTTTGAAGTCAAAATAAATATCAACAGAATTGTGTAAAACAAGAGATTGAAATAAATCCTAAAGGGAATCTGAATATTAAAATATTGAACTTTGAAAAGGTATATAAAAAAGTGAAGACACAGCCTTACATCAAAAAGTACCTTTAGATTTTTGGCTTCCTTAAATGTTAGAAGAGAAAAGAGAAACATTCATCACGGAGATCAACAGCTGAAGTTCAGCTTTGGTTTTAAGTCAAAATAAACATCAATAGAATTGTGTAAAACAAAAGATTGAAATAAATCCTAAAGGGAATATGAATATTGAAATATTGAACTTTGAAAAGGTATATAAAAAAGAGAAGACACAGCCTTACATCAGAAAGTACCTTTAGATTTTTGGCTTCCTTAAATGTTAGAAGAGAAAAGAGAAACATTCATCACAGAAATCAACAGCTGAAGTTCAGCTTTGGTTTTAAGTCAAAATAAACATCAATAGAATTGTGTAAAACAAGAGATTGAAATAAATCCTAAAGGGAATCTGAACATTGAAATATTGAACTTTGAAAAGGTATATAAAAAAGAGAAGACAGCCTTACACCAAAGAGTATGAAATTGTATACGGTCTCTGACTCTTGAGATTTCCTTGAAACAGAATCCTATCTCGAAAAGTAATACCACAAAGTAGAAGGCGCCCTCCAAAAGAACGTAAAAGGTGCTCATGACAAACGCATGATCAGGTTTCAAACTCTATTCAAATTCTAATAAGGTGCCGCCTATCCCGTGATAGTAGTTTGTTTTTTGTTTTTTTGCGTACATGCAAAAATCAACACAGCCAAACCTCTTGCCATTCTATACTCCTTGCGTACAACAATACTTAGATTTGACAGGGAGTCTGAACAGGGAAATGAAAAAAAAAAGCCAAGGTAATTATTAACATGAAAAAAAAAAGGGAAAAAACTTAATAACCAACATACCATCAGTGACAGGTCTCCGGAGTGATGACTTTGAGACAGGTACCATGACTGTGGGGGCAACAGGGCTGGTTGTTTGCTCCCTAGCCTGCTCGTGTGGGGGCACAGTAGAGCAGTACTCTGCAGGATTTCTTGGGTCTGGTGATGCAGCTGGCTGCCTCATTCTTTGAATAGCTTGAGCTTTGAAATAAAATTTAAAAGGAAAAAATTAATTTAAAAACAAGGCAACAATGAACAAATTCAAAATTAGTGTAAAAAATTCAACTTTGTTTGCTATTCACAAATTTCATCGATGAGCTTTACACCAAATATAAAGAGGAGTAAGGGAATTCAGTAATCTTTGAGAACAAGTCAAGTCTGACAAAATGCAGACATGTATCTCAGATACTCAACAAAAAGGCCAGCATGCTGAGTTCTGGTATTTACACCATCATATTTCAAAGCCTTGCAATTCTTCAGAAATTTAGTAAGCACAATTTTTTTATTATTTCTACTTGCATGTTTTTATAATAATTTCAATTAAGACAGTAAACATAAATTTACAATATGAACCATAGTTTTGAATTTGAAATTAAATCTGTACCTTGAAAATAAAGTCATAATGTATTCTAGTAGTGCTTAATTTATACTGGAATTAAAATACAGGATTGTTTATTTTATAATTTACTGAATTCTTGAATTCTCATTAATTTGGCCTCAACTTCAGAACAAAATCCACAAGTGATTCATGTTTGGATTGTACCAATGACCTTCAGTTAATTGATATCTAAGTCTAAGGTCAGACTAGACAGTCAAGTTGAGAAATTTGTAGTATGAACAAGCTTGGGTTGCCTGGCATAATATCGCTCCCAACCCAGGAAAGGTACCCACCTGGACCCTAGGTTAATTTCTACCTTCTTAGTGTAGCCTTCAATCAAAATGTCACCAATCACAGTTAGCACACCATCGTAGCTCAATGATTTCTGTAGCCTATGTTAGGTCAACGCAGATGCACTCACACTAATGGAGTGAGCAATTTCAGGCTTAAGCGTTAGTATGAATGTAGCTGTGATCACTATATTAAACTCAACCTATATAAATGTAATCTGCTTTGACTTGTATACTCCCCAGGGAACAGAGAAGCTAGCACTCTGTGCTGGTTTGCCATTGTATGTTGTCAAGTGACCAGAAGTAATAACACTCTGCGCCTTTGATTATTTAATTTGGAATTGGCGCTATATAAATATCTGGCATTATTATTATTATCTTAATCATTATTATTATTTTTATTATTATTATTAATGCTTTACCTCTTAAAATGGTGTTCAGACAATTTAAGCAAACTCTGGCCTCCCTCTGATCCATATACTTTAACCGAACTCTGACATTACAGCATTGTGCACAAAATACCTGCAATGAAAACATACATATATTCACTTTAACAATATTCAGCAACACATCAATAATTAATATTTACAGAAACAAAAATAACAGTAGTCAGAGGGTAAGCCTCATTATGGGACATAAGTTTATACTAAACAAATCAGCAGTGAGTGTTCATTCATGCAGGGGGTACACAGGTGAACTCAGCTAACCCATTACCTTCTTTTATGCTCAAAAGGCAAGTTTTAAAGGAAACTATTAGGCATTCAATGGTTAATCCAGGTAAGTATTCACAAAATAAATTCCTTCCTTCTTTTCAAGTACTTGATAAATGTACTTTGTTTTTTACATAAAAGAAAGCAGTTACACAAATAATATCAACAAAAAACTGTTGATTTTATATAAATTGAGTTGTCTTACCTTCCCACAGGCTCGACAGTGATGCCTTCTCTTCCTGAATGTAAACTTTGAATTGCATTTCATGCAAGAAGATGCTTCTCCATCAGGTATCCACTGAGGAGCAATGTTACCAAGCCTCAGATCCTCTTCAGAGAGATCACCAACAAGCTGTTCCAGCCACTCACTGTTGCCATCTTCCATTCCAAATCCATTCGGCAAGACAGACACACCAGATTCGGGATCCACAAGCCTGGTGAACGTTGCTGTGCTAGGGTCAGCGGTTGTGGTTTCGACTGCAGATGTTGCCAGTACTACATTTGCTGGTCCAATTGCATCATTATTACGGGCTTCTTCAGACGCGATGGCATCGCTGCCACGGTCAATTATAGGACTTGGTTGTAAAGCCTGCGGGCTTGGTTTTCGTTGACCTGGTTGTTCAAAATTTAATGTTAATGTATTTCTACTATGATTCTGACGACTGTTAATGACCTCTTGGTAAGATGGCGGGTCAACAGGCAGACTTCCATATGAGGTCACAGGATGACCTTTGGCTTTCATAAGAGGTGGATGTTGCATGGAAAGTTCTTTGTGTTCAGTATTGTTTGTTTCTGCAGCTTTTTTAGGTTCCTGTAATTGTGGGTGACTGTGATCATTACTAATTTCATTAGTTCCTGATACAGTATGATCAACAGATTTATTTTGAGCTGGAGTGTCAGTAGAAAGCAAGTCATTATTTGTTGCTTCATGTTTCTGAATGCTCTCATTGTGTACGTCATGAGTGAGCCTTGGATCTTGGTGAATTGAACCCGTATTATTATTAGACTCACTGTTTACATTGTCAGCTACATTCAAAGAATTTAAATGATCATCTGGTTCTGCACTGTTCTCTGAACTAACCTCAAACCCTATTAGAGTAGCAGTGTCACTCCTCAATTTTGCCGAGTCCTGAGTTTCTAACAGCTTATTTGTTGGTAATTCAACAGAGGGTTGCATAACACTTGATAGAATGTCCAAATCTGAGAGATCATTTGAATTTTCGTAAGTGTGTTTGTGGTTATAGAATGGATCCATACTAGCAAGTTCATTAGTTAGTTGCATTGTTTGCGTTCCCTCAACAACAGCTTCGTTTGATTTATCTTCATTTGTTGGTGCATTTGGATTGCTTATATTATTTGACTGGTTGTTTTCAAGACTTCCCAGTTCTTCCAAATCGGCATCTGTGACACTTATGTTGCCAAGGTTTCCAAACCCTGCTTTTCTTGGCGGGACAGGTCCGTTCATTCTGGGTACATCATGCAAATTGGAGTTGCAGTTCACATTCAACTCTTTTGGTGTGTTGGCAGGCAATGGTGCAGCATCCTTGTTTATGATCCTTGTTAATGGCAGTTTGTTCTTAAGCTTTGTGTTTGGGATGGATTCGTGGTTATTCAACGGTATATCACTTGCAGTTCTATCATCTGTTACCCCTCCCTGATTAGGTCCATCAAGATTACTGACAGCAGAAATATGATTCTTCGAGTCATTTACCAGAGGTGAAGTAATGTTAGAAGGCACTTGATCTGCCTCCATTGACTTCAAACTCTCTTGTGCGTTTGGTTCCATTTGATTGTTTTGGTTAGTGGTCACTACACCACTGTTAGACAGTGACTTACTTCCTGATACTGTTACCAATTTTGGCAAACTTATCTCTGCCTTAGAAAGATTACTGATCGAATTCTTTGGAAGAGGAAACTGAGAAAGCGGAGTGTACTGAGTCTCGATTTCTGATGGCAACAGAGGTTTTAAATCTTTTCTTTTTGGAGATTTTGAAACAACTTGAACATGCTCTCCGTTTTGAATGTCTGTCTTCTGTCGGATTGAAATTGTTTTTGAGGTACTAGACATTGAAACATTTAGTGGAGATGAGGGCAAATGTGTAGATTGCGAATTACTGGTGGTATCCACGTGATTCAAGGTGTATTGTGGAGGTGAATATGGTGTTGTATGTGAGCCTGAAATTGACAAATTCTGAACTGATTCATTGCCATTAACAACAGTCCTTTGGATACTATCAGTCCTTTGATTATTATTTCTTGAGTGTTGATGATCTGTATCTTGTGTTTGAGAATTTGATTCCTGATTCAATATATGTTTGCCTAATTGCACTCCTTCAGCAGTGGATATCCGTTCCTTACTATTCAAAACTGATGACAAACTCAAACTAGGTGAGCTGTTTAATGCTGCAGGCCCAAAATCGGCCTCTGACAAATCAAGGATGAATTCTGTGTCTGGTTTAGAGGGTTGGCAGGATGTTTGTGATGACTTCTGGTTGGCTATGTGTGCAGATGGATGTCCAACTGATACCTTGTGTAATGAAACCTCTGCCACCTCTTTGTGATTAATGTACAAATGATCTGCTTCTATAATAAAGTGAAGAATAAAAACAGGAAAGTGAATAATTTTAAAAATAAATATTTATTACAGCTGGGTCTCGTTATAAATTAACAATGTATTATGGCACCAAGAAGTTATCTTAATAGTTTGTAATTCTCAAAACCTTATGAAAAGGGTGTCAAATTATTAGCTCCCTATTTCACAAGAGTCAAAGATGATCAAAGAGTACTGATGATCGTAGAGAAATTTGGTAAAAGCTAAATCTAGTATAAAATTTTCAAATCCCAAAACCTTTTTCACTAGTATTAATGTAGAAAGATAGTTATTTACAGAACAAATAGGAATTAATGTTAAAATAATACCTAATTTTACTATGAAATTTTAATGTAATTAATATCAAACTGTACATGACAAAATTTGTGGCTTAGTGCATTAAGGTGTTTTTGTTATACATTCTGACAAACAATGTTATCATTATTACATTGCTGGTTACTGAATATGATAATAATTATTGTTTGTTTAGTACTTCCGATAATTAGGTACAATGGATTAATAATATTCATGCTTATTAAGTACCATGCTAGCATTGGAAACGATACTACATTAAAGTGGAGAAAAACAAATAGAAGGCCATTAGATGAATAATACACCTTCATACTGTCTATGATACAATAATTTTTAAAAATTATGATTTTAATTAAAAATTCCCATGGAGCACACGTAAAAAATCTATAAAAAAACATTAATCAAGGAAGTATTGACGACTGTATTAGTTGGTAAATTTCATTAGAAAAAAAATTTTCCCTGATGGAAACTTCATCAGATTTCTTATACCAAGTGAAAGGCCTAAGCAAAGTATAAAATGGCTTAGAATATCCTTGAAAATGTTAGCCCTTCTCTCAGTTATCAGCAGGCCTTGGCAGTGTAGGCTCATGGTCATTTTTTGTGGTGGAACATCACTGGATTCTAAACTTCAATCAGAGAGGTAACATTATCTTTATACCTCCCTGCTTCAATGCTGTCATTCTGAGGAGGACATCCCGAAGCCCTGCTGTTGTAACACCCTGAGCTTATACATGGATGAAGGTTAGAATCTGAATGAAATCAAGCCTACACTAGGGATGGGCCTATACTTGAGAATGGGCATGAACTTGTAGTTAGTGTACATTTATGCTCACCTTCTTGTTCTTCATTCTGCTCGAATTCATCAAGCAACTTATCAAGGTCATTAGCTGCAGCTAAGAATGAGTCCATCATGCTAAACTTGCTTCAACTAATATCATGCCATGCAGAAAACCCTGAAAAGAAACACCAACAAAAATGCATGCATGTTTCAGAATACCAAATCTAAAACTCATTTAATTCAATGTGCTTGTGATTAAGGCAGCATCAGCAACATCATTTCGATCATTGTCGCCATAATTACAGTATCTTCCAGTTTCTTTACCTGTTATGCCCTGTCCAGACTATCAAACTGTTGTATGCCCATATATAGTCATGATGTACCCATATATAGTCATGATGTGCCCATATATAGTCATGATGTGCCTATATATGGTCATGATGTGATGTCATCATGACCATATTTAGGCAAGTCACATGTTATTATCAAATAAAATTTGATAGTCTGGACAGACATATTTAATTGTGAAATTGCTAAACTCTAGCCCATCTCCCTTTGCATGCCTGGTGTTGAAGAGTGCTAATCAATTAAGATTAATGTGCCAATGATTAAGGCAGCATTAGCAAAAAAGAGACTAGGGAAAACTGAACTCTGTAGGCATTGGGCATACCCCAGAGACAGAACAGTGTTTAGATAACATTAGGGGCTGCTACAGGATGCACGGTTGGATGCACATACATTTTTTTCTAGGCCTGATCAGTGGCAAATCAAACGATAGATCCTAGGGGAGCAAGGGGCACTTTCCAACCCAGAATACCATAACTAGTAATAGGCCAAGTTCAAAAATAAAATAAATAAAATGAGGCCACTGTTTTTTTTTTTTTTTTTTTTGGCTAATGGCAAAGAGCTGTTTTGCATTAAGTCCTTATGCTGGCAACACTAATAGTATGGAAGTGGATTTAGGCCGGCCAAAGTAGCGGAATGCTATTCTGGTGAAATACATAATTCACAGCATTAAATAGTGGTAAATTTATTACAATCCTTTTTTTAATGGAGACGGCAACAAAAAAGAAATCGGGTCAGAATGAGAAACAAATATTTAAATCACTTGGCCTTGTATTGTAAATATACCGCAAATGTGCTGATAAGCACGACAGCACTTGTCAAATTCTGCGGCTTCAATGTGGCGCTCATTTGAGAGCGATGCATATTTGAGGACGCTATTTATTACGAATTACCGGAGTATTAAGATGTGTTGTACTTGTGATAACATTAGAATGACTAATTTCATGAGAAATCGTTTGTTTGATATTTCCTTGATAATACAAACATCAAAGCACGTTGCAATGTGAACTCCCTATGATGCGCCACAATGTTTATTCAAAATAAAGGCGGTTATTACATCATACAGTACTGTACGTAAATTAAAGATATACATTTACAAACATTTATGAATATTCATAATTATTATGCATAATTATTATGCAGGAAATGGTAATAAGCTATGAATTTGTAGAGTGCATATTACACGTAGTCTCAATGCGCTTATTAGTGGAAGTCTTCAAAGCAAATCTGAATCAAGAAGTATCCTAAAACTACCAAGGGAAAACAACTGCAAAGAGCAGAACACAACAGTTCTGAACATAAGTAAACCCAATTTTGAACTGAAGATAATTTTCTCTTGTGTCTCCTCAGAGGCTTTCAAGGATAACAAGTTTCCATTTTTGTTACAGTATTTACAGGTTGAAGTTCAGTGGTTGGTTATTAAATGCTAATAAAAGTCAAGTTTAACATCAGTTTTTACCCAGGAGCATTTAGAGCTCTCATGGTGTGTTTATTAATGTTATAATACAAGTGCCATCAAAATCATCAGATGGAGAACTCTTTCTGAATGCATAAATTATTCCTGGTGACTCACAATAAACATTAGGTATTAATGAATGAATAAATGAGAATATTACTTTGCATAGTAGGTATGGGAGTTTAGAGGGTGAGCTAGGATACAGATAAATGGTAGTGTTTAAATATTTAACAATTAACCAGGCAAAACTTCGGATACACATTTTTTGTAACACAACTTATAGTAAAAGTGCCAGGCAGCCATTTAATTTTCATTTAGTTTATTTATACTTAAAAATGCACTTGCTGCTTGCAGTACAAAAAACCTGTGTCAAGGGGTATATAGGTGTGCATGCACTCCCTAGCTTCAGGTCTACATTGTTAAAGTCAATCGGCAATGTACTAAAATAAAGATTAAAATAAAAGGCAATCTTAAATTTACCAGCAATTTATACAGTAAGCCAATATTTGGGCACTAAATTTGCAATGGAATATCAAAGCTGTGATCCAACCAGTTGACCCCTTGATCCCAGTTGGTTCAACTTTCAATAATCCACACTTTCCCTCACTTCCACCCTCCCCTAACAAGCAATCTTAGATAAGGCCATGTAAAACATTGTACAACATTGTATCATATTTTATCATTCGCTAATTATTCTGTAGCCCTTTCCCTGATAAATGAATTATTTTTTTTGTTTATAAAATGAAATTTATGACTACGGTATTGACAAAGTATACGGTACGGTAACAGGATTTTTTCTCACGACCAAAAATAATCCACTCCCTAAGCACTCATATGAGACTTGGTTTATGTAAAGCTTCATATGTTTATGTTTGTCATGTTAAAGGATTGCCACCTACAGTATCTATTCGCTATTGGTAATCCTTGGCCATGTGCCTAAAGGAATACAAAAATAAAAAATAAAAATATTATTACAAAATGTGTTGTTAAATACACTGAAATTCTGAAAGTGAACCTGACAGTGACACACTATAAATTTAATCAAAATATACATAATAACTTACAAATATTGATAGTACTATTAAGCCATTGGTTTTAGGGATAATGGTCACATATAAAGAATAAAGATCTAGTACACGATGGGAGACACTGCCTATACAAACATGGAAGAATAAGCTTGATTCAAATAAGACAATTTTGCAGTGATAAGGGTTTGCTGAAATATTTGGTTAATATGGCTTTGGCGAGTTGAGTAGCCGAGTGGTAAGGCGGGGGCGCCGCTAACTACTGTACAGCATTGACAGCGGCGATGGTTTGAGCCACTCCTCGGCCAGGGTTTAGTTGGTAGAACAAAGTCTTCTCGGATTAGGACTCAAAATGGAGGTCCCGTGTACACATCTGGCTCGTGTGAACTTTAAAGAACCCATTGCATCTTTCGGATGAGTAGGAGGTTACCCCGATGCTATGGTTCCTTTCAGCTCCTGTCGCTGTGGAATGATGTGAATATGAAGTTACAGTGAGCGCCACTTTACGGCTGCTAGGTAGCCACTCACATCAGTCATGCAATTCAGAATATGACGCTGTGAGTTATGGGTTATTCTCCTACCTTACAGTATACATTCCTACCTTTACCTTTGATAATGTTGTCAAATATTTTTATTAATGTATATTTTCTATCTTTGTGATTCGCAAATCACCCATTAATTCAAGAATAACTTTTATAAATAGTACCTGTCTTATTTTTTCCATACAATATTCTGCACCATTATTTACATTTTACAATCATCAATATTAAACAACAACTGTTCTTCATGCATGAATAACTGAAAGCCAAATATTCCATACAATTTATTGCATTTAGCTTGAATATAATTTGTATAGTAAAATATTTTATATTGCTCTCCTTAGAGTGACTAAATTCATTTAGATATCACAGCCGGCTACATTCCCAATACTAAAATATTCGCCGACATCTTGGCAATTTAAACACAAATGGCTCTCAAATTTTATACAAATCTAGATTCCCGATAATGCCGACATTTATTCCGTCATGGAATGTGCTATTTAGCAGGGATATACAACCATCTGTCCATACAGCATTTACAGTACATGTTGCTGAATATAAATCACGGAGCTGGTTCCAAAGATCTAAAGTGCTTGATTTTCATCATGCTTTTTTTTCAAATCGTTATGACGTTCATAGAAAAAAATGATTCCTTGCAGCCAACGCAAATGTGTGGAATTAGTAAACATCTTTACTTGTCTGATAATGTTATTAATATTAAATAACATTTGAGATGATGACACTTTTACTAAATATTTATACCGTAAGGAACTGGCTTATATATCAACA